GGATGAATATGGACAAAAAAAAGCGGGATAGAATAAATGGGGAAAAAAAACTAGCACATCTCAGCCAAAAACAGATACAGGACCTTGACTGGCGCCATTCTTGTTTCCGGTGGAAGCCGTAATTCATAGCCCATGAGAGAGTTACCAATTAGTAGCTAATAGTTAGCGGCAGTGAGTTTATCTTCGGTGCCAGATAGCTATCGTTCGATCTTTTGGGATGTTTACACAATTGTGTTGATCATAGTTATCACTACTATTTATAAGGAGCACGTTCATCTCCTCTTTCTCTGTTTTTGGAATTCTCAGAAAGGTTCAACACAAAAACCAATACTTGTCCATTACTGATATTCTCATTCTCATTAAACTATCACTGCACTTTGCTCTCACCAAAATGCTGAAACAGCTCCCTTCATACCTGCAAGCACAATCAAAGCCCAGCATACCCATCATCAAAATTAAACCCCTACTGACACGGCTGCCCATTCGTATTCCCGCAATAATTGGTGTCTTCACACTTACTCCCACATCCATAATCGGTATAAGTCGTCGGAGTGTTCTGTTCCCACGAGCGCATACACTCCGTCACATCGCCGTTACCCCAGTTGCATCTCTTCCGCTCATATCCCTTGGTGAGAACCATCTGCTGCTGCGTCCACACCGTATGGCACGCCTTGTCATTCCAGATACATGTCGTCGTCGAGGATGCAGAGTAGCATTCGGAGTCCTCAATTGATGAGCTAAACTCCACGCCAAAACTTAACCCGGGAACGATTCCCTTGGACACGGCAGCGTCGATTTTCAGACCCATTGAGGCGCTGACGGTTTGGCTGCGTGTTTGGCATACTTGGGTCCCGTTAAGTTGTGCGGCGGAGCACAACTGTGTGCCCGTGCAGTAGATGTTGCCGGATGACTTGATCCATGGTTTTTTCCTGTGAGGTGTTTTTAATAGTTTGTCAGCCCTTTTGATCGTTTTCTGCTTCTTACGTTATCGGTGGATGGACAATACATACCACACACTCGCTTCTACAGCGAAGTAATCGTGCCAGCACTTGCGCACTTTGGGGAACTTATATGGATGCGAAATCTTGTCGGATTCGATATACACGCCTTGCCCGTCCTGGTAGGGCCCCGTGTAATCGCTGTCGCTATCACATTCTTTCACGCCTCGTTTTGCCAGCACTAGGTTAGACGGCGATGTCGGCATGGCAACAACATTGTCCACGAGACCCAAAGCTCCCAACGCTGCATAAACAATGAACGAAGTGCGCATTTTGCTGTTGGTTTCGTGGAGTTATATAAAATGAGGGTGGGCCACCTTCGTCGTGAAAGAAAGAGTGAAGTATAATTGGGGACGGCTGCTTGAACTTTCGTTCGATTCTTTCCTTCATGCTCAACTCTCCTGGTTCATGAAGGCTGAGGAAATAAATAAAACTGTTTCATTGCCCAAGGGAATAAGGGCTTTTATACAAAATCGAACCTCTCTCTCTGCCTCGCAGCCTTTCTCGACAATACGACATTCCTCTTTGGCATTCTCTATGCATCTTCTAAGGCCCCCAGTCAGCAATTTTCCTCACCAAATGCCAGGAACTGTAGAATGTAGCATGTTGGATATAGTTCCAAAATTAGACCTAATTCCCTTTTTGGTACATTGCATCTTCAACTTCCAATCTCCCTTTCCCCTTCACCCAAAATAAAAAAAATTGGTTCAAGTCGCCGATCGATCGGCTGCGCGGTACTTCGATGAGCCTGCAAATAACTATCAGCCGTATCAGGGGATTGTTGATCAGCAATCCGACGGCATATCTGGAGGGTGTTTCTTGTCCAATCCGGTTCCAGAATCCGTCCTCTTTCTCGCAAGTACGGAGTAGTCCCCCAGATTTTAGCCCCCATGCTCGAGTAGTTTCCGTGGTAGCTAGAGGATTTACTAGAAAAGGAATAGCATGGAAGTCATGCTGCATTTCTGCAGAATTTTCCTGCGCCGTTTCCAGAACACTAGGGTGGGACAAATATTTCAGCGTTGTTTTCTCTTCAGCCTTGTGCCGTTCCCCCATAGCCTTGCATGATTCGAGCTAATAATAGAAATATATGGATGGGAAATGCAGGAGTTCTGCTAGTTGACGGCGTTTGGTTTTGTGGGGGAAGAGAATTGCTATTGGACGATGATGCACTACAGAGAGTGGGTCATCGTGCATAGAAGTCGTGGATACCATGTGCAGGAGAGCTAAGGGGTAATTCTTCGGATCTTTGCGAGGTTATTCAATCAAACTCCATCCAGAAAACTTGATATTTGGCAGCAAAGGTGACAGTGGGCGTTGGGGACCGATTTTGATAGATTTAAGCATATTTGTCAGGGTTGACATGCAATGAAGTTGCCTAGGAACTTGACATCTGCTGAATCAGGCCCAAGCAACTTGAAAAAATTCAAGAGATACAAAGGAAAACAGGCGAACAATATCACACACCAAACAGCGGAGCCTGCGTATTGGGGTATTGGCGCGGCGATAGTAGTGGAGCTGGTGATGGAGGTTGTTGGTCTGGCCACTGGGGTGGAAGGGAATTTGTGTGTGGGCTGGAGCGAACGAAGTATGCGGGGTGCTGTGCTGAGGGAAGTAGAAAGCGTTCCATAGGGGGCCGAGATGACAATGAAAAAGCTCAGCCTGTTGCGCTACCTTCTTACGCTGCTGCTCACCCTGCTTTTGTGCACACACACTGACAATAATTTACAGTATTTATCGAGGTGAGTGGTCCCATTCCTAGAGGTGAAGAACCAGATGCCGCTCGCTACCCTCCGGTGTAGTTAAAATGACATCAATTTGCCATGGCTCCATGGGATTCCCAGAAATTGAACGATCCCTGGGGATGTGCAGAAATAGTTTGCTCGGATTCCACCATCACTAACAGCACGACAGAGATGTTGGCGATGTCCTTTTTGGAGCCTAGGAGCGCATAATACCCCAGTCCCACGCAGCGAAGCCAAACAGCTCACCGAGAAGAACGTTTTGCTCACGCGAAATATCAGTGGTCAAGATGAGCCGCTCCATAACGAAGCTAAACGCTCTTTCGCACACCAATACTGTCGGCGTTATTGGAAGCTCAGGCTTGAGCTGCAGGTTGGTTGGCAACTTCAGCGGCCAATACTGAAAAGATACCACGAGGCGTGAACCGGGATTGGGCACTACGCGGAGAAGGGTGGGAAGGGTTGACAGCGGAACCGGGGATGTAGACTGATGTGTGAAAGGACTGTATATCGATGTCCTGACTCGATATTCTGGAAATGGAATTAAGAGCCGCACGCGAGAAGTATTAAACCCTCTCCTTCTTTCCTCTCCCTCCTCCGAGATCTCCCAATAATCCGTTCCTCTTCCTCTTCTAATCAATGGTATCGTTCTTCCATCTGATAAATTGCCAACGGCGAATGGCGAACATATTCCCTCCGTAGAACCATTGTAATTAGTGGATCTTGAAGTAGTCTTAGTCGATCAGGCCTGTGTATAGCTAGATGCCAAATGCTCAAACGATATGCTAACGTCGGTAAGGTTCACGGTCTGGGTTGAAAGTACAAGGGCTGGATGGGACTCGTGTTCCTCATGGAATATAAAAAGTTCCATTATGCCCAAAAATTTATGGTACCTCACCACACACTTAATCCCTGTCGAATGCAAAAGCATGAAATTCGTACATTATTGTTACATATGAGTGCACTAGCAAAGCTAACAGAGCCAATACCAAGTGTTATCTTCGCAGAAGAAATAAAGGACCACGAGTAAGTGGCCATTAACGGATTGCGGGAAAACAAAGTGGGGGTATCACGCTATGTGTCTACACTAGGAATCATTTCGAAGGCGCTGAGTGTAGGTAGGGGAAGGAATGGGTATAATGTCCAAAACGAAGTGTGTAGAAATAGGCCCGTGATCTGTTCCATGTCTGGTCTTATAGAAAGACAAATTAACCGCCTATTTTATCCAAAACTGATTGTTATCATGTTTGTGGTCCTCGGTTTCAGATTCCCATACTCGTGTCGTCAGTTAAATCTTTCTCGACTGCCGACCACTGATTTGATTCCTGCATGCTATCGTCGCCTTCGGTGAACACTGCTGGTGTACTTCCAATGTGGGCTGTGACTTCGGATTCATCGTCTGGAATGTCTGCAAATCCCACATTTTTCCCAGTTGTTGAATGTGGCGGCACTGCCTCCTCGAGAACATCACCGCTCCAGGGTTTGCACTGCTTAACAAGGTCTCCGCATCGAAGACAAATCCAACCTTCTCCCTCCTCCGCTTCAAGTTTCTCGGCGATGCAGACAAAGCAATATACGCATCCGCATGGCATAGTCTCATAGGGATTTACAACATCAGTCTGTGCAGAGCCTATTATCCCTCCTAAGGCTCCAGATGCACCTAGCACCTCATTTTCGGAGGTGGCTGTTGGATTCTTCTCCTGATAACAAATCGGGCAGGTCCTTTCGGGCAGAAAAGCCAAGTCTCCTTTGCTTTTAGCCTGCACCGCCCCTTCATCAGCTGCTTTTAGCGACGACATTGTTCTCCTCCAAGCCCGGGAGACCCAGCGTCGCCATCGTCCGATACCGACAAGAGGAAGTAAGAATAACAAAAATTCTGTAAACGCGTGCCACACGAGTTGTCTATTCAAATACTCAAATGATACTTCGCGGCTGACTTGGGTAGATGGAGGTGCGAGGCGCATACGCAGGACGCGATCAATTAGCGTTCTATATCGTCCGTTGGTGAGAAAAACAAGAAATGAAATGAAGCCAGCGATGGAGTGTGTGGTTGAAATGACCTTTGTAACTCGAGACAACAGTCGTACTTGTGAGGGTGGCTATTTTGCATATCAGAAACTGGTCTAATGAGCTGCAATGAGCTGGAATGTTTTTAAACAAACCTCATCATATCCGCCTTCCTGGTCAATCAACCAGCTCTCCCATTTATCCCACGCATAACGACCCCCGACTGTGAAGATGCCGTACAATGATTTTTGCCATTTTGTCGGATCGGAGAGGGTAGGACTCCTTTTTCGACTATCGGTATATTTGAGGTTTTGTAGAGCGGCGCCGTACGACGCATTGTGATCCCACACGGAGAGTTTGAAGAGGATTGCCCGCAATGCAAATTGTATCTCGTGCGTCCAATCCTCCTTTATGTGGGTCTATGGAGGGAGAATAAAAGGATAAGTCGCCAGCACGCACACAATACAAAGGGGCTCTTATAGAATAAAAGCAAAGGGGTTTCATGTCTTACTCCAAAATACTTCAATCCTTCCCCAACTTGCCCTTTCAAGAGCGCGAGGAGCTCCTCATCCAACAACTCCGCGTCTACCTGTCCCACCCTAAACGCGGGTCCCGTGCCTTCTCTCCCCTTTATTGTATCCCATAGCAGAATTCCAGCATCGGAGGCTCTTGAGAGCGGGTAAGGAAGTTTTCTAACAGCTGCAGGAAGACGAGCGACAGGCTCGGATATTTGATTGCGCGCCTCGGCTTCACGGAGACGGCGACGTTCTAAAATGCGCTCTTGGGCTGCCGCAAAATCTGTCGGAGTCATCGCGGGATCATTCTTGATATTTCTGTAGGGTATTCGATACTCCGTCAAGTGGTTCAAGTGTTTTTGAGGTGACCGAGGCTACGGATTACGCCTCGGCTAAACTGACTCTTTGCCAAGACAAAAGAAGGACCTAATGAAATCTTGTTCTACATATATTATCAACTTTAAATCCTGCTGCCCGGACGGGCCCCAGCAGCCAAAAAAATGGCAATTCTGCGCTGATTTTGGTCGTTGCGAGCCCCGTGGTGCTCAGGTGGATCAGGCACCCTTTTCCATAGCCTCTTGCCGCCTCACGGAGAGCTCATTGACAAAGCTCAAGCCTTTCTTATATGACACGTTCGACCATCTCTTTTTGGATCTCCTTCAGAGCAAAGGAATAACATGAAACTTACGCGGTATAAATTACAGGATCTCAGCCCAGTATCAACACTTTTCGCATTCATAAATGATTGAATTGTTTCCCAAGCGCCTTGCTCAGTATCCCAAGATACAACCTTTTGTGATTCTGATCACTGGGCAACTTATTCCTCTGAAAAGCTCAACAGGGCAACCCAGGCTCTACAATGCGCATGGAGGCATCACAAACAATCATGCAATCTAGGAAATACCCAGTACAAATCAGAGCAGGGATAACATTAATGTCAATTCGCTCAGCCGGTTTGTGCAATGTAGAGTACTAGCGTGAGTGTGGAAGCTATGTGTATGCACCAGACATCGCCTAAGCGCCCTGTTCACATGGTCAACCAACTAAGATTACATGGAACGGTTGGCTCTCGGCAGCCTCAACCTTGATCTCCAAGTAATGCATAAGGCAACTACGGGGTTCTTTGATGAGCCGGTGGTTGTTTCACATGACCAAATTTCATTGCAAGGTGTACAGAGGCCAAAAGTTTACCATTTGGCTGATTACCCAAGATCCGCCTATCGCTGCCAGACATGAAAAGGGTTTCCCCCTGCTACAAGTTCTATGATATTTCCCTTCTCCTCCTGCGCATTCGCCTGTCGATGACAAGCTCTCGTTTTACTATCGCGGCTATACCTAGCCTTCCGCTGTCCTCACCAGATTTTCAACGAGGCTGAACTCACCCGAAACTATCGAAGGTACGCCCATTTAGCTAATGTTATCGGCTGAGTACAGCCAGTCTTTTCTTAGAAGCTCTTGTTTGACCTCTCCTGCCCCTGTGCTGTTGGCCGAGGAACCTATTTTAATAAAGGAGAAAAAGAAACTAGAGAAGAAAATGGCCGAGCTCTTTGTCGCCATCTCTCAACCTCGGAACCAGACTCGGGGAACCTATCACTGGGCTTTGTATCTCCAGATCAGCTCAACGGAACACGCCATATTTCAAATCGTCGGTGATCCGTGCAACTTCAGATACGATTAGTGCTCTGCTGCTCCTCAAAACAGTATCCACCATATAGAGAACATCCGAATCGCGGAGATTGACCATGTTGACCACTTTCGCCAAGTAGTCAAGGACCAAAAGATCGAGAATGAAATGTACAACTGGGGTTGCCAGCAGTGGGTCCTGGATGTATTGGAGGCCTTGGTTGAAGCTGATCTTCTTACGGACTATGACCATGATGAGGCGAAGCTCAAGCTGGTCCCTCTGTTTGGAGCCCAGATTGAGGATAGGTATGAGGTCTAGACAACCAGCGTTGCGCCTCTTCAGGAATCTGGGAAGACGCAACGAGAACTCTTGATCGGACTGAAAGTTTCAAACAAATATGAGAGGAGGATCTGAATGAGAAGTATCTTTGGAAACATGAAGGGCTAAAGGGTAATCGTATGCCAGCGTTTAAGAACCGAGCAGGTTGGGTGTCATAAAAGTTAAGGTCTTTTTAGGTCCAGTAGTAAAGATGATGTCCAATTACACCACACAATTGTCTATCAAGCAATCAATAGCATATTCTTCAAAGTACTTTCCCATCCCCTTTAAGAGGCAGGAAGAAAGGCCAGTCACCCAAGCGTATTGGGCGAACAGTGTTAAGTGACTTGACAAACTCCCAGTACTCTGGATACGCACCGCCAACCTCCCAGTCTATCAGGCCAGTTATCCGAATCCCTCCTCTTTCCTCGTCATTAGTAGCCAGGACATTGCGGGGGTGCAGGTCACCATGAGTAAGGACAATACGATGATCTTCGCGAAGCATGAGTCTGACGAACTCAACATATGGTTCCATGGTAGGTCGACTATTACCGGAAAGAAGGAATTCGTTGAACTGCGTTTCACTCTCCATTGACTCAGGACTCTTACGCATCCACATTCTGCAGTCGACGCACTGAGGGGGATTTCCACCACCGAGATATTTAGATGGTAACGGAAGCAACCGGAGATTCTCCAAGATGGCATCCAGTTGATCCCGGACAGAGCATTTGTCAGTATTTGATAGGTCTGGCCAGAGTTTGTCAAGAGGGCGACCGTCAATGAGGCTCATGAATGCATAGACTTTTCCGCCAAGAGCAAGTATGCCAAGAGGCTGGGGAACTGGAATGTCCTCAGAATGCTTTCGAATGTGGGCAGTCATGTTTGCGTCAATTGACGATATATTAGGTCCAAACTTGACAACGATCCGTTCATCAAGTTGGACCACTGCGCGCGCAAAGTGACTCCAAAGGACTTTCCCGCTCTTCAAGGCGCCGGATAAGGCGGAACGGATGTCATGGCCAGTTAGCTTGCACCCCTGGTAAGAGTACTGCTGCAAAAGTGCGGTGACTTCAGGCGCAAGTGGTTGTAGGATCTCCGATTGACCTTGTGGAATTGATAACATATCTTCAAAGTGGAGTGGTTTCTGAGGAGTGTTTCCGCGACCTTCAAATTGGGTTGGTTTCTGGGTATGCCCTTGCAACAGAAAGAATCACAGGATCTTACATTCTTGGCTCCTGAGACTTCGCGTCTAGATGTGTCCCCACCTTGTAAACAGTGTGCTGAGATCCGCCCACAGGACGGTTTTCGGAAGCTTGCATTGGAGATCGGCCATTGCAGATTCGTTCAGGGCCGCCAGAGCCTTCCGAATATCCCCATCATCGTCACTATCCGTCTTGTCGTTGTGTGTGGCGGTCTCTGATCCAGGTTTGGACTCGGATTGGCATTGAGTCGCGTCTGACGCCCTGAGTTCACGGGTGCTTAGCGCGAGGAGAGACACGAAGACGCTTGCGCCGAGCACGAAGGTCAGGCCTGTTGTCCAATTCAGATACCTGACGGGTATGTTTTCCGGGAACGTATTGCACGTAGTACATCGGGTTCGAACTGCTTGCTTAATAACAAGCCCGTCATGAGTGGAGATGAAATACAGTCCCTAATAATTGTCCTACTAAAGTTGTTCCGAGCCGTGCGTAGCAAGTGTGCCCATGCAAATAGTAGTTAGCTGCTGTCATAACTAAATCGAAAAACCAGAAGAAAGCTGACTTTCTTTCAGCAGCACACTACACCTATACTCCAATCGTGCTCACTCCAAACACTGGGAGAACTGCACTAAATCTGTAAAGAAGTAGTCAATCTGGCTGTGTGTACGGAGTAATTAGCTGGGATCTGTGTGTAATTTATCCATCCCATGACGAAAAGCGCACGAATTTTGCTTGAAGAACTAATTGGCTTGAAATACGACAATATAACTAACAGTATTATCACGACAACGTAGAATGCAAAATATACATATCCTTTACGAGTTACAGCATTTGTTGCAGATATTGGCACCGAGTATCTTAAATAGTGAAGGACGAACCAACTTGGTTGGGTCCAAGCTCCCCACGCTATTATAAAACTGCTATTTAGTGGTGCCATTTTCAAGATGGTGGGGTGCGTCTGATAGCCTTCATCAACAACCTTCAGGGCGCTTCTCCTTAGAAAGCTCCCTCGAGTTTAGAACTGCGTACAGCTCCATTCTTCCTCTGCTATCCATGGCCTCACTAGTGGAATTGCCGGGAGAGGCGAATCCCCTTACCAGTCAAAATGTTTACAACGCCTTAGTTCTCGCCTCAGGGTCTTCGCAACAGCAGGTCATCACGGGTGGGGAGCAGCTTAAGAACTGGGAGAAACAAGCAAATTACTTCTCATTACTACAGGTATGATTCTTAGCCATACTCATTCGTCTTTTTTATGCAAGCATTAACTATGCGATTGCAGGACGTCTTCGTTGATACCTCTCTCCCAAACGAAGTCCGCTATATGTCGATCCTTCAGCTTAAAAATGGCGTTGATAGATATTGGAGGAAGACCGCGTCTAAGTAACTATGCCAAAGCATTTGCATGGTTCTACTAAGGGATACATACTAATTCTCAACAACCAAAGCGCCATCAAGCCGGAGGAGAAAGTGCGGATCAGATCAAGAGCCCTTGAATCTGGAGCCGTTGAGCCTGATGCCAAACTTGCTCTTCACAATGCACTGCTGCTCGCGAAGATAGTGCGTGTGGAATTCCCAGCAGAATGGTATGATGAACGCCCATTAATTCCCCCGTGGTCTGGTTGCTAATTCTCTTGTTTTTGCTTG